AGTCCTTTGTTCTCCACTCTCCTCTTGAGATTTTGGGCACCAGTGTGTTTTTCAAGCTGCAGGTCCAGGACTCAAACCATGCAGTCAGCTATGTAGGATCCAGTTGTTTTAATTACCATGTGACCTGGCTGCCTTTCTCCCCAAATTATTTTAAAGTGAGTCCAAAAAATATTTTATCTGTAAATATATTAGTATATAATTCTAAGAGACAAGATTTTTTTTTTTTTTTAATCTGGGACCAGCAGATGGCAAAATGGTTACATCACTGGACTTCTACATGGCTGACTGTGGTTTGAGTCCCGGATCCAGTGACTTGAAACTCATGCTGGATGCATGTGTGCCCAAAATCCCCAGAGGAGAATAGAGGAGAAGGGATTGCGGCCATTCCCCCAGGGTGTCATTTCTTTCTGTCTGTCTCTCCAGTGAGTGTATGTGTCCAAAAAAAAAAAGAATGTTTTCTTATAGTAACCACAATATATAAAAATAACGTAATACCCACATCAAATATTAAGTTAGCCTTCAGATTTCCCTTATTGTCTTTCTTTTATTTATTCTTTTATATCTGGCTTACTTGTTCTAGTTCCAGACAGGCTTCACACATTGCTAATCTGTTCAGCTCTTTTATTCTGTTGCTTCTTTCTCTGTCTTTTATTTTCTTGCAGTTTTCTTTTTTTTTGCTGTGTTTATTGTTATTCATACAAATGGAGTCCTTTGGGACCAGCAGATGGCATAATGGTTACGTCACTGGACTCCACGTAGTCAGCCGCAGTTTGAGTCCCAGACCCGACAGCTTAAAACATGCTGATCATGTGTGTATATGTGCGTGCCCAAAATCCTGAGAGGGGAAGGGATTGGCCATCCCGCTTGGGAGTGATTTCTCGCTTTTTGCTCTCTGTCTCTCTGGTGAGCACATTTGCTCTCTAGCAGAAATCTCTCTTTAAAAAAAAAAAAAAGTCCTTTTACATGTAGGAGGTCCCATGTTCTAGATTTGCTGGTTGTTTCTTCGTGGTGGTGTTTAACATGTTTTTCTGTCCTCTGTATTTCCTATAAAATGATGATTAGATAAGATTCCAGTTTTTATCTTCCCCAAAGTTTATTCACCTTATTTCTTTCATATGAGAGAGAGCAAGAGCAAGAGAGAGAGGTGGTGCTCAGAACGAACCTTACCATGCTGCGCCCTCCTCTCCCAGCCCTCTATCCAGGCAGGATCACGGACACATGAAGAGTCTACTCAGGGGGCCAGCAGAAGGCATAGCAGTTATGTTGCTGGATGACCACGGGTCAAATCCCAGACCTGGTGGCTTGAAAATCATGCCAGGTCCATGTGCGTGCATGACCAGGATCCCAGGAGGAGAAGGGAGAAGGGATTGCCATGTGGCTGTTCCTTCATGGGGGGGCAATTTCTCACTTTGCCTTTTACTGTTTGTCTTTCTTTCCAGTGAGCTCATGCATCCTATTGCAAAAACCTTTAAACAAAAAAATAAAAAGTTGCTGGACTCCCACATGGTCAACCATGGTTCGAGTCCTGGACCAGTGGCTTGAAAATCACATCAGGTGCGTGCCCAAAATCCCAAGAGGAAAATGGAAGAGAAGAGATTGGGGCATGACCATTTCCTCAGGAGGCAAATTCTCACTTTTCCTCTCACTGTCTCTCTGGGTGAAGCAAACAAAAAAACAGATGATAATAATAATAATAATAGAGAATGGACCAGTTGTGCCTTGGGAAAACTGCATTTAAGAAGGGAAGAAGTATGGAAGATTCATGATTTCACTGTTATTTTTATAAACTGTTGGATTACTTGAGTAGTAATTAATAGTTTATTTTGAGTGATTCTTAAGTAATGTAAGAATTACTTTTTTTTTTTTTCCCAGATTTTTGCTATAGGGTGTGTGAATGAGACGAGAGGCAGAAAGCAAGAAATCACCCTCTAGGGGGATGGCCATGCTACAATCCCTTCTCCTCCACTCTCCTCTCAGGATTTTGCACATGTACACACATGCACCCAACATGTTTCAAGGCACCAGGTCTGGGACTCCAATTGCAGTCAGCCACGCGGGAGTCTAGCATCTTAAGCACTATTGTCACCGGCCCCAAGAATTACTTTTACAAAAGTGATTCAATGGTCTTTAGATGAAGTGGTAGTATTAGTGGCATGGTAACCTCCACTACATACACTGCAGAATTTGCAGAGTACAGAGATCGGTATATTTAAACCCTCTTGTGATATGGGAGCCAGTCTCCACTCTTTGGGAGCTACAGCTGCAGGGTGGTAGCCTTGTTCTCTTCTTCAGATTGCTGGTTTATTGTCTAAGCAACAAGGAACCATCTTGGGAGAGCACTGTGAAAAAGAAGGGTAGAAAAAGAACACTTTGAAGTGTAGTTGAATCCTGGATCCAGTGACTTGAGAAACATGCCGGCCACTGTGCGTGAGTGCCCACAATCCCGAAAGGAAGGGGAAGGCATTGTGATGTGACTGTTCCTGATGGCGAGAGTGCTTTCTACACTCCCCTCTCTCAGTCTCTGCGTCTCTGTGTGGTGGGTGCATGTGCCCCTTGCACTCACACACAAAACAAGTCAGAAAGACTCAATTTTGTGTGTAGGGGGACTTTAACAGGTCGACATTATTTAACCTCTTCAAACCTTAGTTTCTCAATCTGTGAAACAAGAACAGGAATAATTTTATTGAGGGTGCTGTGAAAATTAAATGCAGTCATGCATAACTACATCTGGCACAGACAAGATAAAGCCATTGTTTATAATCTCCTCCAAAATTAACAGTAGTTTGAGGTTTTTGGATGACCTACTGTGCATCAGACAATATTCTAAAAAGTTTACATGGATATATTTTAATCCCCACAGGACTCTGTAAGGTAGGTATTACTAGTGTCATTTTATGAGGAAACTGATACAGGAAGGTAAGTAGCTTACATAGAAAAACATGTAATAAATAAGGAATTGCTGCACTGGGTATACATATTTTATATTTTTTGAAATAATTAAGCCTATATTTTGTTATGACATCAGAGAAAAAGGAAAACATGATAAATCAGAATCATGATATGTTCAAAACTCTTTAATTCTTTTATTTATTTTTTTTTTAGTAAGGTTTTTGCTATAGGGCACATTTGCTTGCTGGAGGGACAGAGAGAAAGAAAGACAAAAAACAAGAAACCACCCTCCCCTCTCAGGGGATGGCCACACCTCAGTCTCTTCTCCTCCATTCTCCTCTTCAGATCTTGGGCTCACATGCACACTCACCCAGAGTGAGTTTTAAGCCACCAGATCCAGGACTTGAACTGCGGTCAACTACACGGAAGTCCAGCGACGTAACCAATCTGCTGATCCCCCCCATTAATTAAGTTCGTATGAAACATTCATGTTATTTAGAGGATGAACAACTTCTTAATCTTCCTTTATAACACAGTTTTAGTTCCATATTGAAAGTGTTTGGTTTCCACAGGGTCGGAATCTGGCGGATCTTCGCCGTAGCCAGTCCAGGGGAACTTTCACCATTAGCACTACTCTTCGGCTGGGCAGGCAGATTCTGGAGTCTATTGAAAGCATCCATTCTGTGGGATTCTTGCACCGAGACATCAAACCGGTAGGGGCCTTTTCCAGCTTGAGCACAGAATGAGTTTCTCCGGTACTCTTAATGTTATTTGGGGATATAATACATTACACATGTAACGTTCTGTATTGGTTAAGTACAAGGTGATATTTTTATTTTTGTAAGTGCCTAGAAGCCAAATATAACTTATCTCATAATTTTTTAATGACAATTAAAAACTACAATTTATTTTCAGTATCGCTCAGCAGCCAAATTAAAAATTGCTTAAAATATAAATATATATACACATACATATATTTATTATATACACTTAAATATACATATTGCTTTTAGCTGTTCATGGTTTGTTTTTGAACCAGTTCTCAAGTCACAAATTGTGTTTATAGGAAAACATAATTTATGAAAGACCTGTTTTTCATCTGTATGGTACCGTAGAAATCAAGTGTCATTTTTTATGTTTTTCTTAGAAGTTGTCTTTTCCATAATTGTGAAATATGCTTTTTGTCCTTTTCTGTGTTTTATCGTTTACAAGAGGAAATAATCTATTCGTGATGCACTGCATATACTGTAAACTTGTCCTATGGTGGTGCAGTTGAAAAGTATAGCCATTCGTGTTACATGACTTCTAAAGTAGTTTATGTGACAATGCCTATGAACATTAGCGGCATTGAGTCAGATTTCATGTAATTTAGCATTTCTCCTTTTATTTTTAAGTGTCGTTATTTGAGAACCATGGTGACTTGTGAGTTTCCATTTTCATCAGAAAGCTCCATACGTAAAATAGTATTTTAAAAAGAAGCTAACAGTTCTGTAATAATTTGCTTTTACTTCTATAAATAGTTGTATTTATATACCCATCTTTACAAGTTTCTGGTCATTTAATATTTTATTGATTTTTATTGAGGGAAAAGTACAAAATACATTTTCCATATGTCTATTTTGAAATGCTAGTTAAATTGTATTTTAATTTTAGACTTAATGAAATTCAGTTTTATGATGCTTATAGGAAATTCTTTACATTTTCTAAGGTACCTCCCCCAAGTTGTTCCCTACTCCTAGCTTTTGAAAAATATGGCTTGAGTTTTCACTTAAGCAGTAACTTAGATTAGAATTTCAAGGAAATTAAAATTCGAGTTCTGAATCTAAGTCAATGTTATATTGTAATCAACTTCTACAGCTGCTTGAATTCTTTTTTGCTCAAAGTTTACCTGATGTAGTTTCAATTAAAACTACAACTAAATTATATATTTGTGCCTAGTAAACATTGATTAGAATACCATATTTGGAACATGCATATTATATAGAATTTAAATGTAGGAAGGGTAAGATGAAAGGACTAAGTCTAATAAGAATATATATTTTCCTTCTTTATTTTCCAGTCCAACTTCGCCATGGGTCGCTTTCCTAGCACATGTAGGAAATGTTACATGCTTGATTTTGGCTTGGCTCGACAGTTTACCAATTCCTGTGGTGACGTCAGACCTGTAAGATATTTTGTATTATTAAAAATTTGAAAATTTCCTGTTATTTATAGCATCACTTATTTAAAAGAAATGCTGATTATATATCAGATGGATGTTATCTAAGAAGTCGCATATTGATTTTTTGATTAAATAATAAAGTGAGGCCCAGCCTCAGGCCCAGGCAGTAGTATGCTGAATTGCAGTGCTGGAACTCACAGGGCCGGAACTCAGGTTTGGATCCTGAGTCTATCTGAAAACATGACAGGTGCACATGCCCAGGATCTTGACAAGTTGGAAGGCTGGGGAAGGGGATGATGGCATGCTAAGACCTTGGGAAGGTGCCTCTCTCCCTGCCTCTGGCCCTCTCCCTCCCCTCATCCATGTGTGCACAAAAGCTCTTTCTTTCATGAATGAAATAAACAAACTTTGGGCTAGCTTTGTAGCATAGTGGGTAAAGGAGCTAGATCCACATGGCTGACTGTGGTTCATATCTGGGACATGTAACTAGCAGCTGGTGTAATGGTTACATCACTGGACTCCCATGTAGTTGACCATGGTTCAAGTCCTGGACCCAGTGACTTAAAACTCATGCCAGGTATATGTGCATGCATGCCCAGAATCTCAAGAGGTGGCTGGAGGAGAAGGGATTGCAGTGTGGCCATCCCCCCTAGGGGGTGGGTTCTCACTTTCTGTTTCTCTCTGTCTTTCTGGTGAATGTACGTGCCCTATAGCAAATATCTCTCTTAAAAAAAAAAAAAAAAAAGTTCCTGGGACGATAGCTTGAAAAATACACTGAGTACATGCGCATGTCCAAAAACCCTGTTGGGAAGAGGGAATTGAGGAAAAACGATTGCGTGACCATGCCCCATGGAGGATTGCTTCTGCCCCTCCCCAGCAAGCATACATGCTGTCAATAAAAGTAAACAAACTTAAAATTATAGAATGAAATTAAATTTTATTTTTGAAAGTTATGACTTTTAAAAAATGTACATTTTTTTTTAGAGACAAATTTAGTGTGGTCTTATATTTAAGAACACACATTAGCCCTTTGGGATTCAGGATCTTTTTGGTGTCTGAGACTCTTTAATGGTATAATTCATCTATTTCAGTTATTTACTTTTCAACTCCAGAATTGTCATTTAGTTTCTTTATTCATATTCTCTACTTAATGTGGCATTGTCATACTTTAGTTCTTTAATCGTGCTTTTCTTTAGTTCTATGAACATATTTGTAATTCCTACTTCATCTTTTCTTGTTAAATCCAACATCTAGTCACTTTCATAGGCAGTTTCTGTTGCCTGTTTTTTTTTTTTTCCTAATGCATGGTGTCACACTTTCCTATTGATTTGCATGCCTCTTTTTTGTTGTTGTTGTTAGAAACTGCTCCCCACCCCTTACAGAACTTGTTATTATTATTATTTATTTGTTTAGCTTCTAACTGGATTAATTTAATGATGACTTCCCTCCCCTCCCCACCGCATGTAGTGTTAAAGCCCATAGTCAACCTGAATTGACAGCAGTAGGGGTAAAACTCACTTTTACTTTATCTCTGACCACACCCAACTCTTTTATTTATTTATTTGTTTTTTGGAGAGATTATTGCTATAGGACGTGTGTGCTCACCAGAAAGACAGAGACAGAGAGACAGAAAGTGAGAAATCACCTCCCAGGCAAGATGGCCACACCATAATCCTTTTTCCTCCAGTCTCCTCTCGGGATCTTTTTTTTTTTTTTTTTTTTGGGGTTTTTTTTTTTAGGGCCCGGAGGTTTTTGCTATAGGGCACGTGAGCTCGCCAGACAGACAAAGAGAGAGACAGAGACACAGAAAACGAGAAATCATCCCCCAGGGGGGATGGACACGCCACTATCCCTTCTCCTCCATTGTCCTCTCGGGATCATGGGCACGCACGCACACTTGTCCAGCATGAGTTTAAGCTGCCGGGTCTGGTATTTGAACCGCGGTTGACTACATGGGAGTCTAGCAACATAGCCATTACGCTAACTGCTGGTCCCCTACACCCAGCTCTTAAACTACGCTAATTATAGGTTGATTCCTCTGTTCTTTATAAGCCTGGGGCATAACTACCTTAAGGAACTAATAGAATCTCAATGTAGCCCCCAAAATGGAATCATTTCTGAGGTCAGTGCTTGATATTTGTTCTGACCCCAGGAAAGACCTTTCATCTGTCATATTCGCCCAGTTCTCTCCTACCCGGCCTATAGCCTAAGCTTTATCTTCCTTTTTTTTTTAAGAATTATTTTATTTAACTTTATTTATTTTTAACTTGACCAGAGAGAGGGATAGAGTTAGAGAGAGGGAAAGGTGAGAAAGCAAGCTGCCAGGTCTGAGATTCGAACCTCAGTTGACCACATAGGGAGTCCAGTACCCTTAACCACCATGCCATCTGCCAGCCCCGTTTATCTTTTTTCTTTAGATCCATGACTCTCCTCCCAATTCTCTTTACTATGGCTTTTAGGTTTAAACTTTTTTTTTTCCTAAGGCTTTTAAGTTTAAACTTCCCTCTCTGTGGCAAATTAAGCAATTCCATTCGGAAGAGATAAAGAGCTGTCTCTCTCATGTCCTGTGTCTGTCTCCTGGCAAAATCTCTGAACCAGGCTTCTGGGTCCCAGAAGTAGGGACAACAGCAGGCTTTTTCTCTGAGTGACATCTCGACTCTGGGAGCTGGGCCCTGGGGTTTCAGTGGGCTGTGGATAGGGGTTGGTATTTTGAGATGATGTCTGAGATCCTCTCAATTTCCCTCTTTTGGCATAGAACAGCAGTCTCATGACCCCGGGGCAGGGCCATCAGGGTTATCAGGCCCAATATTCTTAGGCCGCAGTGTTCTCAGTATACTTTCCTAAGGTGAAGCCTCTATGCATGGGTGAAGATGTTGAAGAAAAAAATTGTACGTGACACTTGGATAACAGGTTACCCCAAATCTGAGAGGGCTTGCGCACAATGTTTACCTGTTCCAAAGAAGGTACCTGGGATCCAGCAGGTAAAGACAATGATTTATTTAGACTTACAGGAACACCAATGGTAGCAAGTTGGCGAAGTGTCTGCAAGCAGTCTTACAGCTTATAGATCAAAACAAGCTTAGGTACCTGGAGACATTTCTCCTTGGATCTTTATAGAGTTGTATGACTGTCTTGTTTTAAGAGAAACTCAAAACAGATCGTACAGACTGTCTAATTGTGCTTGCTTAGCTTGGCTGCCTGCGTTCTGTAACTTATTGCTGGGGACATGCACATTCTTCAGAGAACAGCCTCAGCCAGAGGCTGCTGGCTGAGGAGGAAGACAGAGGGCAGCTCGATGTGGGGGAACAATCCATGTGTGCACAGATGCCTTGTGACTTGTTAAGGAGAAGTCAGGTAGACTGTGTTCAGGGGACTAAGCAGTGGGGACTTTGTAGTAAGGGAGAGAAATAGGGCTCAATTCTGAATACCACAAGGACAAGTAGAGATTTATAGCCAAAGAGATGGTGGGAGTCAGTGGATTTGGAAAATTTCTAAGAGGGACATCAGGAGTAAAGGGATCCTGGCTAAATTTGAAAGGATCATTGCTGAAGGTACACTAGGGTGAGAGGTTATAGAAAGTGGAATAAGGAATTTGATCATATCCCAAGGGAGGTCAGATACCCAGGATAGAGGATTTTCATTAAACCATCCCAGTAAAATCCTTGCTAAAAGTGGATTAAGTTGAGATAGACAGGGATAACCGAAAATCAGGGTGTAGGTTGAGAAGAGAGTTGTGAGGAGCCTGATTAGAGCTAGGTCAAAGAAGAGAGGCTTGTCAGAAGCAGAATGCAAGGAGGATGCGTCCATTTTTCTATTTGCTGTACCCAGGATTTAGCCTCCTCAGCACCAGGCAGATGGGGCCCACCATGAGCAATGCTAACGTCCTGCACATCCCAGAAGGAAGCCCTCTGGCTGGAGACTGAGGAAAGAGGGAGCCCTGCTGCAGCCTGGAAGGGAGTCATCCTGCCATACAGTGTGTGTGTTGGGGAGGGGGGGGCGGTTCTTTGTTCAGATACCATAGACTCACCTTTCTTACTGAATTTTCATAGGTTTTCTTAAGTAGGTATTTTCTCACTTTTTTAGTTTACCTTTAAGACTACTTCCAGAGGATTTATGTGATTTTTTTTAGAAAGAGTTTTTGCCAGTTTCACTGGAGAGCGGGTGGTGTCCTCTTCTCATTGTCACACTGGCAATTGGTCTCCTGTTGTGATCCTGCCAATATTTACTTTTTATTTTTGTTTCATCTTAACTTTGTTATTGATAGTAATTTTCATTTCTATATTAGGTGCACAAAAGTTAAAACACCGATTTTGATTTAGCTAACTATACAGTAATAGTTTTATATCTAAATGCAAACTATATTTAAAATGTAGATAGTTGCGACTGGGCCCGTAGCCTAGGAGGTCAGGGTGTCAGAGCCCACATGGCTAACTGTGTCCCAAGTCCTAGCCCCAGTGGCCTTAAAAACACACTGAGTATGTATGTGTGTTTGGCCCAAATCCTGACAGGATGCAGAAATGGAAGAGAAGGGATTATGGTGTGACCACACCCTTATGTCCCATTGAGATTCTCCCTTTCTCTCTGTGTCTGTCTCTCTGGAAAGCACACATGCCCTCTGTCAATTGAAAAATAAGAAAAAAATATATATGTAGGCACATGAAAGTTTAAGTTCCTAGAAATTATGGAAACTCCTGTTTGGCTCCTGTGATGATTTTGTATTAATAGGTAGTAAGAGAGGTAATAAACTGAAGTTCTCTGTGCCTTATTAGCCTTGAATTTTATTTCTGGAATTTTATTTCTATTCCAAAGTGTTAGGATTTTAGTTTTTAGAACATTATCAGGTTATTCTCTGTTCATTCATAAAATATATTTACTGAGCATATCTTATGTGTGAAGCATTGATCTAATGCTGGTACCACAACAGTGAACATGCAGACAAAATTTAGGCTCATATGGAGGTTATGTTTTAGTGAGGGAAACAGAAATACACATACAGATACA